TCTGAAAGGCCCTGAAATAGGGAGAAGGCCAGCGCCCAGAGGGTGGTGAGTGAAAGGCAGATCTGCACAAAGGGAGGGGAAGAAACCGGATTTGGCTTTTATCCTGAGGGCAGTAGGAAGCCATTAAAGGACATCAAGGAGGGAGGTTACACGGTCTGCCATGTGGGTCTGCCGTGTAGACGACGGGCTGGCCAGGGGAGGAACAGCGGGTGTCATCCTAGCAGGCTGCGCAGGTGGTGGTGGTGGAGAGCAAGGGCACACACAGCATTGGAGGGGGGACCCGCCAGGATGTGCGAGGGAGCCAGTACAGAACGGGTGAGGTACGCAGAGCAGCCCAGGGTTCTGCTGGAGCTCCCGGGTTTGTGCATGGGGGTGAAGACCAAGGGAGAGGCCTGCGGGGTGACGGGGGGTGAGGACGGAGGAGGCCCAGAGCTCCATTTTGGACATGGAGCGCTTGAGGCGTTTGTGAGACACGTGCATAGTGTTGACTCTGTGTCAAGTTAACGGTTTCTGTTAGTAGCTCAGAGCACAGAACAGGGCCGGAGAGGAAATGAGCGAGTGACCAGCACACACTGCGGGTACTTTCATCTGGAGGACGAGTTCATCTAGGCGGGGAGCGCAGGGAGGGGCAGGGACTTCAGGGGAGAGATGTCGGGGGGCAGTAGGATTTCCCGGGAGTGGAGGGGAGAAGACAGCGTCTTCAGGAGGAGAGGCTGCCGCACCCCACACTGCTGGGGACAAAGGGTGACCGGTGACCAGGTCAACTGCTGTGTCCGGTCAGTCGTGGACTTTGTGAGTTTTGCTCTATGTCTCCAGGCTCTCCCTCTGTGTGATGAGACATGCAGTGTCACAGGTAGAGAAATTTAACCACACACACTTCAGAGACGCCAGCAGTGTCAATCAGACACGTCATTCATTCAGGACAAAGAGCTTGCGGGCGCTCCTTACAATGGAAGCATCGGATGCTTTGCAAATTTAGTCCCAAAGGCACACAGTGGCTCTCTGAAGGTGACAGCCTTCCTCTGCCCCCTGCTGCTCTCTTTTTCTCTACTATATTAGTCACTTTAAATAAGTCCTATAGAATAGCAGTGTGCCTCTTAGATGTCTGCAACATGATTTCCACAAACAGCCCCTGGCCAAACAAGCCAGGCCTATTTTGACTTATGCTACAGTGGAACGGAACTTTCCGGAACTCAATTCAGCTAACTGAACTAGAGCGGGGGGAAGCAAAATATTTCACCCAGAAAGAAAACTGTCTTCCTGGTTTGATTTTACTGGAGCTGCAAAAGACTAAACATTCTGGTTTGCATCAGTAGCAACCTATAAAACAGGACGAAATGTAGTTAACAAGAGAGGAATCTAACAATTGCATTCCAGGGGAAGAGTCAGAGAACTCCATAGGAATCAAGGTCATTCCTACTAAACTACAACCACACGCACATTTTCCAAAGGCCATTACGGTGGACTACTTTTTGTATAAGAACTTGCTTTAAAAATGTTGATTTGGGGCCGGGCGCGGTGGCTCAAGCCTGTAATCCCAGCACTTTGGGAGGCTGAGACGGGCGGATCACGAGGTCAGGAGATCGAGACCATTGTGGCTAACCCGGTGAAACCCCGTCTCTACTAAAAAATACAAAAACCTAGCCGGGCGAGGTGGCGGGTGCCTGTAGTCCCAGCTACTCGGGAGGCTGAGGCAGGAGAATGG